CCTCCTCCTCCTCCTCCTCGTTCTGACGGAGGGTCCGAGACCACAGATCATGCCTGATGCCGCAAACCCAAACCGAAGGCCACGCTCCACCGAGGACAGCCGCTCCGCCCCCCCACTCCCCCCCGGCGGCCTGGAACGTCGTGACGAAGTCGCGCGTCGCGTCCTGCGCGGGGAGGAGCGACGCTGGCCAGAATGGGAAGGGCGGGCAAGGGAAGAACGACGATCGAACAGAGAACTCACAGAGAAAAAGGCGTTTCGCTCCGCAACAGCAACGTCAATGAGAACCAGAGGTTAAATAATAGGGGAAGACCTGGCGAGGCGGGTGCCCTCTGACGCCAGGAAAACCCGACCGTCCGAGCCTCGCACGGACCACATGTGCAAATCGCAAAAATTCGAGAGGACTCGCATGGCCACTAAACTCGTACGGCACGACCAGAACGAGGAGAAGGAAGAAGGGGAGGGGGATGAAGAGAGCCACAATAACGAAAATTAGCATCTTTGTCAGCCTGCCACCTCTTGACAGGTGCAGAACATGAACTCCGCTGCCCTTCAAGAAGGCTATCCCGACATCGCACAGCCAGGCCCACCAGGGTAAGCTCGCAGCAAACGCCCGCGCTGCCGCCCAAGCGGAAAGCGAACATACATTATGAGTGCACGTAGATGATATCCTGCGCGAGGAGTAGGTGAAAGGGAGTCCCTCCTCGTACCCCAACCTCTTTCTCGCACTGCTCCTCTTTATCATCCTCCTCCTTCTCCTCCCTCTCTTCCTCCTCCTGGCCATCATGATAAGCATCGTCACCATCACCGTCTCCGGATTCTGCCAGCCGTGTCCCTGGCCCAAGGCATCCCCGGGACTTCTAAGGGGGCCCCCGGGGCCTCTAAACATGGGGCGAAACGTTGGAGTAACTTTGGGCCAGCGACACCTTCAGCAACCCTCGACTTTTGTTGCGCTGGTGAGGCCCAGACAAGGCAGGAAAGGCCAGCATCGAATCGCGAAGCCGGATCGCAATCGAAACCAAGCCGGATCTGCAGAAGTCGGCGCCCAAGTCGGAAAAACACACATCGGCTCGGAAATCGGAAACCAGCGATCGAATCGGAATCGGATCGGAAAATGTCTGTCGGAGTCGGATCGACGTCGAATCGGTTGGGGGCCACGTCGAAACGGATGGGGTCGGAACCCCTCGAGTCCCCTCGGACGCATGGCGCCGATGATGTTGATGGCGGCAGGCGCGCGGCGGACCGCGGGAGGGCGGGCCCCTTTGGCGGCTCCCCCGCGCGAGGGCAGGGGGCCGCCGCTGGGGTGACGGGGCTCCCGCGGGAACCACCCCACCAACAGTCCACCAGCCGCACCTGCCCTTGGGCCCCTCTTGGGCCCCCTTGGGCCCCCTTTGGGCCCCTTGGGCCCCCCTTGGGCCCCCTTGGGGGGCCCCCCTGGGGGGTCCCCTTGGGCCCCCCCTTGGGCCCCCTTGGGCTCCCCTTGGGCCCCTTGGGCCCCGTTGGGCCCCCTTGGGCACCCCTTGGGCTCCCCTTGTGCACCCCTTGGGCTTTCCTTGGCCCCCTCCCTTGCGCCCCCCTTCCCTTGGGCCCCCTTGGGCCCCCCTTGGGCCCCCCTTGGGCTCCCCTTGGGCCCCCTTAGGCCCCGTTGGGCCCCCTTGGGCCCCCTTGGGCCCCCCTTAGGCCCCCTTGGGCTCTCCTCCTCCTCCTCCTCCTCCTCCTCCTCCTCCTCGTCCTCGTCCTCGTCCTCGTCCTCGTCCTTCTTCTTGGGCGTTTCTTTGAAGCACCGTGCCTTCTCAGAAGCCTTGCCCCCGTCCCCGCGGCCCCTCCAGCGCGCCGCCGAGCAGGGGGGAAAGACCACCGTTCTGCCTCTGGCAGCGCCAGCAAATCGGGATCCTGGGGCCGAAAGTCTGGCCCAAGAAAAAGCTTGCCCCCTTGGGCCCGCTTTGGGCGCCTCCTCCTGCTGCTGTTCCTGCTCGTCCTCTTTCTGTTGGACGGTGCTCGCGGCGACAGCTGGTCGTTGAAGCAGCGCGGCGGCGACGACGACAACAGCAGCGGGCTCTCCTCTCCTCCTCCTCCCCCTCCCCCTCCCCCTCCCCCTCCCCCTCCTCTTCCTCCTCCTCCTCCCCCTCCTCCTGTTTATTCTTGAATCGGATCGGTGCGAATCGGCGCGCAGCGAAGTCGGATCGGAAACTAGTGGATCAAATCCTCCTGAGTCGGATCTTGGTCGGATCGGCTCCCAACAAGCCGGATCGGAAAAAACCATATCGGCGTGGCGAGTCGAGTCGGAATCTTTTCATATTCGATATGAACAGTGTCGAACCGAACCGGTCGGATCGAAACGGCTCCTGCAAGGCGGTCGGAACGCAGCCTGTTTATCCTCCTTATCTGTCTGCTCTTGCTCATCTTCCTCATCCTCCTCTTCCACAGTCCTGCTCTGACGTCCTCCTCCTCCTCCTCTTCCTCCTCATCGTCAATCCTCGATGTTATTATTCCTCCTCCTCCTCCTCATCATCATCATAACCATCATAACCATCATAATCATGATAATCACCATCATCAACATCATCGTCATCACCATCATCGCCACCTGTATCACCACCTGAACCAGCAACAGCATCATGAGCATCTTCACTCTCGCGCCCATCCTAATCCTTATCCCTATCCTCAACATCCCTTATCCTTACTCCTTTCTGCCTCATCCCTTCTCCCTGCTCCCGCACTACTCTTCATCTCAACATCCCCATTACCAGCACCATTGCGACCATCATCAGTACTATCATCTGCTGTCTAACCATCGCCTCATCATCATAATCACCAGCATTGTCATCATCGTCGACGCCATCATCATCATCATCATCATCATCACAATCAGCATCATCATCAGCATCATCATCAGCATCATCATCGTAATCACCATCACCATCACCATCACCATCTTCTCATTTCCCATCACCATCACTATCATCATCACCATCATCAGCATCATCATAATCATCAGCAGCAACAGCAGCACCATCATCATCATCATCAGCATCATTATCTTCACCACTATAACCAACAACATCACCATCATCATCATCATCGTCATCATCATCATCAGCATCATCATCATCGTCCTCGTCCTCGTCGTCGTCATCGTCATTGTTGTCGTCGCCGCCGCCGTCGCCGTCGTCGTCGTCGTCGCCGCCGCCGTCGGCATTTTCATTATCAACATAATCATGTGGGGGCCTGGTTCCTTGGGCCAAGCGTCCGTCATCCCAGATACGACGTCGCTCTGTTTTGACTGCCGTCCGGCAGTCGGCGGCCTGCTTGAAACAACAGCAGGGGGGGTACACGCTCCCGTGCAAGCGCACAAGTAAGCTCTAGCCGAAACCAGCATGACCGAATCGTCACCTGGCCAACGGCCCGTTCAAAACGGTTGAGCAAGACAGCGTTCGGGCCAGAGGCATGTCCGAAGGCCGAGCTTATGATCTCGAGGTGGGAGCGGCTGGCAGATCCACCACGACCGCGGCCGCGACACTGCTTTGAAAAGAGCTGTATCGGCAGGTGCGCCACGGGAAACGTTGTGCGCCATCGCCCAGAGGCTCCTCTCCAGGCGCAGACACGGGCGACACGCGGTTCGTCATTGTGGCGCCGCGCGCTGAATGGGCCATAGTGGGGGCATCCCGCATTATGCAGCGATGGAGTTCTCCTGGCACGCATTGGACGTTTTGCCTGCGGCATAAGTCAAACAGGTAGATGGATGCGACGCAATGCCAATTCGCAATGGAAATCAAGGGAAGCCGCGCGGGTGTCTGTCTGGCAGGCTTGGGAGGTCCATGTAGAGGAGGTTACTTGACAGGAATGAAAAGGAACCGCAGCTGCCATAAGGACGCACAAAGGGCAAGCCAAAGGGAACGCACTGTCCCAGACAAAATCCAGGTTCGGATCTGTCTCACTAAGCTCTGATCGAACATGTCATGCGAGCAACGCTCCCACAACCGTGTACCGGGACAGCAAGGAATTGTTTCGCCAAGCCTCCCTCAGAAGTTGCCAGATCCCTCGGAAGCCTCAAAGACGGGGGGGCCCAGCGTCTTGAAGGCGGCCCGGGGGTCTAAAAGCTGGATGTGCCCACAGAAAACCGGTCAAGAAGGGAGGATAATGGCAAATCTCCTCAAAATCGGTCCCCAGACCGCTCCCCAGGTGCCTGTAGTGCAATTATTTTCTCCGCGGATCCGTTTTTGAGCGTCCTGGGGCCTGAAGATGGTCCCCCGGAGGCAGAAAAATGTAACAAGAGAAAAATCAATCTCGAACCCAGAACCTCGAACCTGGCCCCCAATTCCTGCTGGCCGGAACCTGTGCTGGGCCACCGGCCACCTCAGGCCCTCAGCCAGCTCCATGACGAGAGGGCTTCCAGAGGCCTCCCGGATGGGGTCCGAGCCGATGGGGTCGGAGGGTCGCGCCGCATCGCCAGTGCATCGCCAGTGCGTCGCCGATGCATCGGCGATGCGTCGGCAACGTCGACGATGCACCAGCGCCGTCGGCGTGGAGAAATCAGGCCCCACGTCGGGCCGCATCGCCGCTGCATCGCCGATGCGGCCCGATCCTCCGACCCCATCGGCTCGGACCCCACCTGGGAGCCCTCGAGCTTCACGGCTCCTCCCGCGGGCCGGCCACCGCGCGACCGCGGCCAGCCCGCGGGCAGCGCGCCGCCGAGGCGCGGGGCGCTGGGCGGGCTGCGGTGGCGCTGCGCCGGCGGGCGCAGTGACTGCCCGGGGGTGCTCGCCTCCCCGGAGCTCCGACGTCGTGGCCTCTGGTTCGCAGCGTCGACCCTCGGGGGCCCCAGGCTCGGAGGCCCAGAGGTTAGCATGAACACCAGCGTCGGCGGTGTGCCTTCACCGAGGGAAGATGATCCCGGTCTTGGCGATGGCGGGAAAAATTCGGGCTTCACAGGTGTCCGTAACATCACCACCAACACCAGAATTTAGGACCATCTTGCGAGCTCGAGAGCGTGCGTTCCCAGCGGCGAACGCGGGGGCGCCGCGTCCTTCGTTCGCACATTGACGAACGCGTGGCCGAGGTTCTCGCCTGCGAAGGGGGGGTACGACCGATATAGAGGAAAGCGCCGAGAGAGAGAGAGAGAGAGCAAATGAAAGAGAGAGCCTGGCAGAGGAGAGCAGGGTTCCTGTTCCTGCTCCTCCATCTTCCCTCCCTCCTCCGTCCTCCCTCCTCATCCTTTCTCCTCCCTCCTCCTCCTCCTCCTCCAACTCCTCCTCCTCCTCCTCCTCCTCCTCCTCCTCCTCCTCTTCCTCCTTCTCCTCCTCCTCCTTTTCCGCCTCCTCTTCCTCTTCCTCTTCTTCTTCTTCTTCTTCTTCCTCCTCCTCCTCCTCCTCCTCCTCCTATGACTTCTACACTCGGGTCTTTGTCGGTCCTTGAAAATGGTACTGCCGCTGCAGCGTGGACCTCATTTCAGGATCGGCGCTTTGCTCCCATCGTTCAGAACGGCACTCTCCCCAAAGCGGGCTTCTTTTCTGGACCCGAGTTGTTCCTCATCGTTATCACCCCACTCCTTCCCCCTTCTCCGCCTGACCCTGATCTTCCTGCTCATCCAGCTCCTTCTACTCCAGGTCCTGCTGGTGCTGGTGCTGTTCGTACTCGTTCTCCTCCTTCCTCGTCATCCTTTCTCTCTTCCTGCTCATCCATCACCTCCTCCTCCAATGTACGCAGCTCCCCATATCCGATTGCGCATAACACGCTGGGGTCCTGTTTGGGAATTCCAGTTCCGCTGTGGCACCTGACAGCGCAAATAAACAATGGCGCCATGGGAAGGGATGGGTGGGAGGTGTCGGACGCCAGATATGGCGCGAGCGCATCTAACTTGGTCCCCAACCTCGTTTTCCTCCTCGGCCGCGGCTGGGCCGGCCCAGCACAAAACTACATGAACTACGCAATGCGCCCTGAGCCGCCCGCCGTCACCGCCGCTCGCTGGAGGAGGAAGGAGGAGGGGTGAAGGAGGAGGAGGAGGTCAGGCCGGAGGCGGTCAGAGCTCAAACGGCCCGTGTTTCTGCCCGTGGCATCTTCCTGGGGCCGGGAGGAAGGGAAGGCTCGGTGATGACGAGCAGCGGGGCAGGGAGGATTTCCTGAGCCAAGCAAGAGGCAGGGAAGGGCCGGGGGGGAACGGAGTGGAGAAGATCGTGCGGCCAAGGGCGAGGCGTACACGAAGACGGCGCAGGAGGGGTAGAAAGGCGAGGATCGATGCGTGCAACAGCGCAGGAAGGAGGCGATCGAGAACAAGGCTGGAGAACAAGATCAAGCGGCCAAGGCCGAGACCTCTCGTTCCAATCAGGGGGGCCGAGGGGCAGGGGGGGGGGACGGGCCGGGCAGGAGGGGGCGGAGGAGATGAACGAGGGGAGCGAGGATACCAAAAGGCCGAGGGGGGGCACGGGCAGAGGGGGGAGCCCGGCGCGCCTCGCCGCATGCCTCCCAGGCACGGGTATCAAGGGCCACCGGGCCCCGGCTGGAGGCGGCGCCTCCTGCCGCCTTCCAATGTGGCGACCTGGGGCGAGTTGCACACCTAATTGGGTCCCTTCGCGGGGCAACTGCAGCGCTGCGGCTGTGCACCATTGCTTTGTCCGACCAAGCTTCTTGATAGACGCTTCGAGAGAAACAGCGCCTACTCGAGACCCTCGATCGATGTCGAGCATCCCAGAGACCTGGCACCACGGCGGCTTTATCCTCATTGATCCTCCTTGATCCTTCTCCTCGTCCTCCTCATCCTCTCCCTCCTCCTCCTCCTCCTCCTCCTCCTCCTCCTCCTCCTCCTCCTCCTCCTCCTCCTCCCCTTCCTCTCTTCTCCATCCATCTCCACCTCTGTCATATCCATCTCCAACTCCACCTCTGCTTCATCCTCCTCATCCTTTTCATCCTCCTTGTCCTCATGCCCACGACATTTCTGAGGCAAGCCGCAGGCGTCCACGGGCGTGAGACGTTAGGCATCCCCCCTCTTCATTTATGCTGTTTGTTTGTATATTCTTTTTTCCTCTCCTCTGCTCTCCTCTCCTCGGCTCTCCTCTGCTCTCCTCTGCTCTCCTCTCCTCCTCCTCTCTGCTCCTCTCTTCTCCTCTCCTCTCCTCTCCTCGTCCTCCTCGTCCTCCTCGTCGTCCTCGTCGTCCTCGTCGTCCTCGTCGTCGTCGTCGTCCTCCTCCTCCTCCTCTTCTTCTTCCTTCCTTCCTTCCTTCCTTTTCCTTCCTTCCATCCTCCTCCTCCTCCTCCTCCTCCTCCTCCTCCTCCTCCTCCTCCTCCTCCCTGCGCCCCGGGGGTCCCGAGTCCGAAGGGACCCCCAGGGCAGGGCGAGCGGACAGCGCGCGCCCGCGGCCGCGCTCGCCCGCGCGCCCGCCCGCGCGCCCGGCCCCCGCGGCTGCGCACCTCTGCCAGGCCAGCGCGGGGCGCCACCACCGCCCCCACCGCCGCCGCCGCCACTTCCGTCGCCGCCGCCGGCGGCGCCGCAAACCGGGCCAACGCGGGGCGCTCCCACCGCCTGACCAGCGCGGACGCCGCCGCGCTCGCCCGTACGCCTGGCCCCGCGGCTGCGCGCCGCCGCCAGGCCAGCGCGGGGCGCCTCTGCCGCCGCCGCCGCCGCTGCCGCCGGCGCGCCCCGCGGAGGCAGGCCACGGAAACCAATATGTTGGCCGCTCGTGATTGCATGCGAAAATACTTGGCGTGCAATGTTTTCGTAAACTGTGTTCGATACTGCTGCTCATCATTCATAATCCATGCGATACACAACGCATCCTAAGAGAGTTTTTCGCGGACAGCTTTTCAAACCTGCACCCCTGCAAGTCTGAGCGCCCTCAGATCTGCATAATGACGGGATGGATGACGGTGATGATGCTGATGATGCGATGGGTGGTGGTGATGATAGAACGTATGATGGTGATGATGATGGTGATGGGATGGATGGTGGCGATGGAGAGGTGATGGTGGTGATGGAGCTTGAAGATGAGGTTTGGGGCGGCCCGCTGACGATGATGATGGCGAGATGGATGACGGTGCTGGTAAGGTGAGCACTGGTGATGGGATGAAGGATGATGACGACGTGGGCGCTGGTGATGGTGATGGATAATATTGATGACCAAGCGCAGCAGGCGCACCAGGCATACCGACCCGGCACACCAGGCACATCGACCAGGCACAGCAAGCACACCATGCACACCGACCAGGCACACCGGGCACACCAGGCACACCGCCCAGGCAAACCAGACACACCGCCCAGGCACACCAAGCTCACCGATTAAGCACACCAGGAGGCACAGGCACAGTAGGCCACCAGGCACACCAAGCGCAACTCACGAGGCACACCCGGCGCAGTCTTGCCCGTCGCCACGGACTCGCTCACCATCTCGCGGGAGCCTTTTTCGCCAGTCGGTAGAGACGGCCCGCACATGCAAGGCGAGCCCTTGCCCATCGCCACTGGCCCGTACTGACCCGTGCTGAACCGACCCCACTGCTGAATTCGGTTGATGGTGTGCCGCTAATGCTGGCCGCCGCGCAGCGCCACGACGTCGGACGACTTCTGCACAGACCCGCGGCGCATTGAAGTGGCTGGCCTGAGAAGACCCGCCCGCGCCCGACAGCCGTGCGGTGCGTCGAGCCCTTGAGCCAACACGGATAGGATCTCCTCCTCCTCCTCCTCCTCCTCCTTCCCGTCGGTCTCGGAGGGCGAGGGGAGGTGGGTGGAACAGCGGGGCCACTCAACCATAGGTGCATTACATACCGTAGACGTAGTACCTTGCTAGTAGCGTAATAGACGACAGACCTTGTCGGTAGTGTACAGGATGTCTATGATGATGCCTCGAGCTCTACATGGAGCTCTACATGGATAGACGTCGCAACTTGTGTGCATGCTGTTCATGCGTACCCTTCCCCTGCTCCAGGCAGGCCGGTCTCGCCATGACTCCCCGGAAACGTCGCTTGCCTGGTCGTCGAACTCAGCGTTCCACGTGTCTCCGTTTGAGTTTGCGTTGTGTTTCTCGCTGCTATCCTCGTGCTCCACTTCGCTCTTGCTGCCCTCGTCGTCGCACTCGTCTTCCTCCTGTCTTCGTAAAAGTTTTGTGGCGAGGATAGGCGTGGATCACTGGCCCATGAATGCCCCGTTCTGGTGCGCGTCGTAAGTATCCGGATCTGGTGCGCATCGTAGAACCTTGCCAGTAGCGTAGTACACGGAGTGCCGTGTCGGTAATGCACATGATGTATATGATGATGCCTGGAGCGCTCAATGGGTAGCCGTCGTAATTTGTGTGAAGGCTGTTCATGCGTGCCCTTCTCCGCGGCGCTGTAGTTGTTCGCAGTCTTCCCCGGCTCCAGGCAGGCCAGTCTCGCCATGACTCACTTGGGACGTCGCTTGCCAGGTCGTAGTAATCAGCGTTCCGTCTGTATTCGTTTGAGTTGGTGTTGTATTTTTCGCTACTTCCTCCTGTTCCACGTCGCTCGCGCTGTCCTCGTCGTCGCACTCGGCTGCCTCCTGTCGTCGCGCAGATTTGCGGCGAAGATAGGCATGGGCCGCTGGCCCATAGGCATCCGTCTCCGGCGCACATCGTAATGGTCGCGGGCGGACAGGAAAGCGTTCATGGCTCCTGAGGGGCCCAGCGCGCGGACCATTGCGCCCCAGTCCTCGTAGTGGCGGCCAACGCTCATGTCTATGGGCACAATCGTGTCGCGGGGCTTGTTGCGCGCGGGGTTCGTGAGTTTGCATGTGGCCCTGATGGCGAAGTCCTCTGCGATTGTCTGCCCCTCTGCGATCGTGGCCCCGAGGAAACCCAGCCCCTGGAGCGCGGCGCACATGATGGATATGAGCTCGTCCTGCTCGTCGCTCTCCGCGTCTTCCTCTCGTGGCCCTTGTAGCTCGGCCGAGGGCTGGCTCTCGAAGCCCTGCGCGCGGCCCAGGTAGCTCGGCTCGTTTCCCCCGTTGTTCGGCCGCTGGCCCTCGTAGCTGTGTCGAGAGCTCTAGAGGCTCCGCTCGTGGATCTTGCATTTCAGCTTGTGGCGCTGGTAGCTCTGCTGGAGGCCCTTGCTGCTCAGCCCATGCCCCGCGTAACTCAGCTCGCGGCCTTTGTAGCCCTGCTGGTGGCCCGCGTAGTCCAGCTGGAGGTCCTCGCAGCGCGCCGCGTGGCCCTCGTAGCTCGGCTTGCCGACCTCGAAGCTCAGCTCGTGGCCCTCGCAGCCCTGAGGGCGGCCCTGGAAGCTCAGCTGGCGGCGCTGGTAGCCCCACGGGTGGCTCCCTAGCTCTGCTCGCGGCCTGCTTAGCTCATCAGCTGGTCCTCGTAGCAGAACCGGTGGCTCTCGTAGCTCGGTCGGTGGTCCCGGTACCTCAACTGGTTGCTGTCGAAGTACTGCGCGCGGCCATCGTAGCTCAGCGCGTGGTCCTCCTAGCTCAGCTGGTGGCTCACTGAGTCCTGATCGCGGCCCTTGTAGCTCGGCTTGCTGTCCCCGTAGTTCCGCTGGTGGCTCTCGTGGCTGTATCGGGGGCCCTCGCGGTTCTGCTCGTGGACCTTGTAGTTCAGCTGGTGACGCTGGTAGCTCTGCTGGGGGCCCTCGTCGCTCTGCGGGCGTCGCACGCAGCTCAACTTGCGGTTCCGTAGCGCCGCCGGTGGCCATCGTAGTTCAGCTAAGAGCCCTCGTACCCCACCTTGAGGACCTCGAAGCTCAGCTTACCCTCGGGGTCCTGCTGGTGGCTCTGGAAGCTCGGCTGATGGTGTTGGTAGCTCAGCAGGTGGCTTTCGTAACTCTGCAGGTGTTCCTCGTAGTTCAGCAGGTGGCCCTCGTAGCTCAGGTGGTGGTTCTCGTGGCGCGGCAGGTGGCTCTGGAGGACCAGCTGGTGGCACTCGTAGCTCTGCGCGCGGCCCTCGTAGCACAGCTTGTCGCCCCCGTAGCTTAGCTAGTGGCTCATGAAGCTCAGCTGGCGGCTCTCGAGGCTCTGCACTTTGCCTGAGAAGTTTGGCAAGTAGTCCTTGTAGCTCTGCTAGTGGACCGACCTTGTAGCAGCACTGTAATGGTCTCCTGGGCCTTCCTGCCCTCCGGGGCTTCCCAGGCCTCCTCTGCCATCCTGGCCTCCCAGGCCATCCTTGACTTGTACGACTAATCGCCGGCGGCGTAGTTGCGCAGGGTGTCGCAGTCCTGGCAGTTCTGGTAGAAATCGTAGTTCTGGTTGTCGTTCGCAAGAGCACAGGTCGACATCGAAAAAGCTGCAGTCGACACAGTCGTCGTAGGCGGCGCGGCCGTAGTCGTACTCGTCGTCGGCGGCGCGGCCGTTGTCCACATGTACATCCACGACGGCGTACTCAGTTCCCTCTACGGGCTGCTCGGTGGTGTCTTCCCTGGTGTCGGTCTTAGTGGCGTAATGGAAGTGGTACTTTTGCTGGGGCTGGCTGTTACGCAACTCGTTCCCGTACTTGGGCTGCATGTTACGCAGCTCGTCATTGCACTTGGGCTGCATGTTGCGCAGCTAGTGATTGGGCGCTCTCGCGAGAGCGGTCGTAACAATGATACTGATGTCGTCGGGTCCAAGTTGTGCCCCATGCCGGACTCTGTACCCCACTCGTGTTTGGGCCGCGCCTGTTCGCGCCCATGTTCTTTGATGCGTGTTTTCGGCATCCTTGCTGGTACGTCTCCACGAATGCGGGTAAGCCTTGTAGCCTTGTAGTTCAACAGCTGGCGATTGATGTTGCAGTCGCGGTACGCTTTGGCATCTAATGATCTCGACGTGTCTCACGTCGGTGTTGCTGATGATAGCATGGGTTTTGATGTAAATCACGCTGACATTGGTGATGATCCCGCAGCTTGTAATGTATTTCGCGTGTATCGTGAAGTATTTGGTGGCGAACGTATCGCACTGCGCGCCGTCCACCGCGTGGCGGACACTGAGTTCGGGCTGGCCCTCCTCGCGCGGGTGGGGGAACATTCCCTCCGCAGGGGCCATGATGACCTTGAGCCAAAACTGCTACGGACCCTTCTCATAATTTTCCTCCTCCTCTTCCTCCTCCTCATCATCCATCCATCCGTCCATCCATCCATCCATCCATCCCTTCCTCCCTTCCCTCTCTCCCACCCACCCACCCACCGTCATCTTCCTCTTCCTCCTCCTCCTGCTCCCACGTATGTTATTCCTCCTCTTCCTCCTCGTCCCTCCTCCTCCTCCTCGCCCCGCTCCTCCTCCTCCTCCTCCTTCTCTTCTTCCTCCTCCTCCTCGACGCACTGGTCGGCCCCTCCTGTCGCACTGTCTATCGGCAGGTAGAGGAAGTCGATGGCATAGCCGAAGCCGTTCGCGGCCAGCTCCTCGCACAGGCCTCCCCTCTGGCCGCCGCGCGTGCCTTCCCAGGCGCACGCGCATGGCATTCCCAAATTGTCCATCCGCGGGCCCTCCACCTGCTTCTCTCGACACCGATAGGAGCAGCCAAGCAGGAAAGGCTGCACCGACGACTGTGCAACTAGCGAGAGACATAGACAAGTATCATGTGTAAATATATAACATGTACATATACATATACAAGCACATAGTGGATTTGAGTGTGAGAGAGCGGGGGACCACAAAAAATCAATGACGAAAAACAGAGAGAGAGAGAGAGATAGAGAGAGAGAGAGAGAGAACACAAACATGTCTACATACATAGAGAGAGATACAAAACAGCAGCAGCAGCAACAACAGCAACAAGAACATGTGCGTGTCCGTTGGGCACTGCACCCAATCATGACCTTCCTGCTGTTCCCCCACCCATATAAGCCACGCCCAACTCACAGCACTTCTCCCGCTGCTCCCATTCCATATGTTCCCTTCTCCCCCTTCCTCCTCGCCCTCCTCCACCCTCTACACACTTCCCTACCCCTCCGTCCACCCCACCGTTCCCCCCGCCAGTGCGCCCGTACTTTCTGGGTATGTTCTTCAAAATGAGCGTCGTCGACTTGCCAGGCCTGAGCGCGCCCCTCACCGGTCCCCGGCATGCACGCAGCACTCCGAACTAATCAGAAGCAAAGGTGGAGGCACAGGAAGAGGAGGAGAAACAAAAGCAAGGGGAGCAGGAGGCAAAGGAGCAGGATGACATGGAGGAACACCACGATGAGCAGTAGGCGAGGAGGGAGAGGAGAAGGAAGGACCAGTGTAAACCCAAGACTCATCAACGATACTGCCATGCCCCCTCCCTCCAAATTCCATCTCCACAGGCCACTTCTAAGGATTCATTTCACCGAAGGGAGCTCCCCGTTGGAAAACGACCGTTAGAACATCCTCTGCTGTGCCAGAGCACCATTGAAGCAAAATTTCTGAGACGTTAACCGTAAGAATCCTCGAACCTGTTGGAAACTCTTACAGACGAATGCGCGCGGCGCTAATGCGAGAGCCACTGTTTAAACAAGAACTGCCATCCACCATCCACCCGTGAAATATTGAACTCCTGAAAAGAATGAGCGCGGCGCTAAAGCGAAAACTTCGTTTTGAAAACGACCCGCCCTCCATCCGTGAAGCTCTGAATTTTTGCAGAAGGAATGTGCGCGTCGCTTCGGCAAGAACAGCTCGCCGGCCCAACGGGCCAGAGGCGTGCTAAGAACCCCGGCAACTGGTTAACAACTTTCTAGTTCGCCCGCGTGGGGCGGCCCCTGGGGGCCCTCGAACGAAAAGTACCCGGACAGGTCCCTGCAAGGTGAGGCCCAGAGATGGTTTTCCTCCGCGGCGCTGCCTTCCAGGCTTTCCCGAGCGCTCCAGGAACGCTCCAAGAGAGCCCCGTGACGTGCCCCAGACGGCCCGAGGGGCCCTCGGTCGCCGCCAGACAGCCTAAGACGCCGCCAAGAAGCCCCGAGAGAGCCTCAAGAGGCTCTCCTAGAGAGCCTCAACAAGCAAAAGTGCCCCATTCCTCACACAAAACGTACGTTTTGCGCATCAACGACGTTTCGAGGTCCAGCGCGTCCAACACTGCCCACGAGACCTTCAAGATCGCCCCAAGACGGCCCAACAGACTCCCAAGATGGGCCCGCCCAAGAAGGCCCCAAAACGGCCCACGAGGCCCCCTGGACAGCCCTGGACAGCCCGACGAGGGGCCCCATCGGGGGAGCTCGGAATTGAACTTTCCAGCTTGCCGACCCGCACGATCGTCCCAAGATGGCCTCCAGACGGCCGAGGACGCCGCCAAGAAGCCCCAAGAGAGCCTCAAGAGGCTCTCCCAGAGAGCCTCAACAAGCAAAAAGTGCCCATTCCTTTCAGAAAACGTGAATTTTGCCCATATGCGACGTTTCGAGGTCCAGCGCGTCCAACTTTGCCCACGAGACCTTCAAGATCGCCCCAAGACGGCCCAACACACTCCTAACATGGGCCCCACACGGCCCAAGAGGGCCCCAAGACGGCCCACGAGGCCCTCTGGACAGCCCAAGACAGCCCTAAGAGGAGCCCCATCGGAGGAACACGAATCCCACCAGCCCTTTAGGGCGTAGGTGGTTTAGGGCGTTTCCTCTTCCACCACCTTCTTCTTCCGCGTCGGGGAGGGATTTACCCCTCCCCCTGCCCCCTCCCCTGGACCTGGAGGGGGCGTTTTGCGGGTCGTCGGAGCGTCCAAAACGGCCTCGGCGAGGAAGCCATAATCATTGGTTTTACTACAGTTGTTGCCCCATTTTGGCCTCTTGGGGGGGGCAGCGCAAATTGAAGGACCTCCCTTCTTTGATCGATCTTCTCCGAGATGGCCCCACAAGCGCTCCCAAGGCTCCCAAGGGTGCCCCAAAAGGGCCCCAAGAGGTGGCCAGGAGGCTCCAGGAGGCCCCCAACCAAGAGGCCCCCAGGATGCCCCCAAGAGGCTCCCCAGAGACCCTCAAGAGGCCCCCCAGAGGCACCCAAAACGTCCCAAGAGGCCTCGGCGAGAATGCCACAATCATTGATTGTACTAAGGTTTTGGCCACATTTTGGCCTCCTGGGGGGGGGGAGGGGCACTGCTTAAGATGACTCCAAGAGCACCTGGAGAGCCCAAGATGACCTCCAAGATGGCTCAAGATATCCCAAGATGCCTGAAGATGGCTCCCACGATGCTCCAAGAGGCCCCAAGACCGCTCCAAGATGGCTCCATGTGGTCAAAGAGCTCCCCCAGGAGGCCCCGAAGAGGCCAAAATCCTTCCAACACCTTAGGAAAATCAATGTCTTTGGCTTTCTCGCCTTTTCGCTTCCGATGGCCATCCGAGGCTTCAAAATAACTCCAAGATGGCCCAAGAGGGCTCCAAGAGCGCTCCCAAGGCTCCCAAGAGCGCTTCAAGAGGGCACCAAGAGGCGCCCAGGAGGCCCCAACAGGCGCCCAAGAGGCCTCCAAGAGGCTCCCAAGAGACCCCCTAGAGGCCCCAAGAAGCTCGCTGCACCCAAGACGCTCTGAGGGGCGTCCGGGACCGCCAAGAGGCCCCCAAGACGCTCCAAGAGGCCTCCGCGGGGGGACCCTTCCCCTATGTGCTGCCCACTTCCCTGATCGAGGCAATTCCTCTCGGCATCGTTTCTGGATGGGCTGGTGGGGTTACGCGAAACGTTAGATAACACCAAGAGACCCCCGAAAGGCATCCCAAGAGACGCCCCCAAAAAAGCACACAAAGAGGCGGACCAACAGGAAGCAATTCCACGGCAACTGCTTCACCTGCGAGCCCCGCCTCCAGAAAGTGCCAGCCGCCCAGCGGCACAGCATTGACAGTAACACCCAAACAAACGACAGCGGCAGAACCGCCCTCCATCCGTAAAGCTAATTTGATATTCAAGAACAAGTGCACGCGGAACTAAAACGAACACCAAACATTTGTCCAAATTGAAGCTCCGCCCCAGAGTAAATCCACTCAGGCTCGGAGGGGGCGAAAAGAAAACCAATCCGCGCATCTGAGCCCAAGCTCCGTGCACGACCATGTAAACTAAACGCCAGAAAATGTCTCCATGCCAGACAGCCCCATGCCGACACGTTGATGCAAAGTGGTCGAGGATGACCTCGCGCAGTACAAAACAGTTCTCGGTATGGAGGTCAGGCGGCCACCGTGCCAATGTGAACAGTAAAAAACCCAAAACAGCAGGAGGAAGGGAGAACAGGCAGGGAGGCACAGACAGCAGAGAGGGGAGAGGGCGAGGGGCCAGGAAGGAGGACAGCAAGCTATTTAAGAGAGCTTAGCCTGAAACAATCTGACTCGTCGCGCGTATCGTTGGACAGCAGGTTCCGCGTCCACCCCATAACCATATCGAGATGACGACGGCTATGCTACAATTACCTTGTACGCGCACAGGCGGGTCAAAATACAGCCCTGCGCACGCTCACCAACTGAGAATGTAGTAAATGACGGCGGGCATGGCAATGCCCGGGAGACGCGACGCTGCTCCGCAGCGTCTGACTGGAGCAAGCCCTGGCTGAAAGTGCAGCCCGGGGTCGGCCAGCAACGGCCGCAAGCACCTCCGCGCTATGCCCATGCAGCCGGCAGCATTGAAGCCGCCAATTCCGGGCAGGAGGGAGGGAGGAAAAGGAAGGCGGAGGAAGGAAGAGAAGGAGAAGTAATAAGCGAATGCGTGCCTCGACGCGCGCGCCATTCTGCAGCGGAGCCAATCTTACCTCGGCCAGCTTGTTACCCAGGGCGTGCGACGGCCGTGTAGCCGAGCACAGGCCATCGACTCAGCCGCCACGCAGCCGCCGCGACAATCTCAGGCGCCACCCCCGCGGGGGGCCGCAAGCCTCAGGGCGAGCAAGGGACCACCCCCCACCGACGACGACGGCGACGAGACGACCGCGACGACGACACCGAGGGCGCCGACGGCGACGACGACGGCGACAAGACCGACCGACGACGACGACGGCGGGGGAGGAGCGGAGGGAGGTAGGCGAGGGCAGGAGGAGAGGCCAGGGCGAGGGCCGGAGAAGCGGAGAGAGAGCGGGAAGGGAAAGGAACGGCCCCCTGCACCCCCCAAGGCGCGGGGCCCCCGGGAGGCGCGTGGCTGGCGCCAGTGGGCCGCCAACCGCGCCGACAGACCGTTACGGCCACGCGGCAGAAGACAAATCCTGCCCCCCCGGGCCAAGGCGACACCTGCTGCCCCGGCCGCGTGGCCGATAGGGGGGGGGGGGGCGCAGGAAGGGAGAAGGAGGAGGAGGAGGGGAGGACGTGCCCCGCTGGAGGCTGCGTGGCGGGTCCAGCAGCGCGTGAGATACACGCCGCACGTAGCCAGGGGCGGCGCAGCTCTGGCGCGGTCGCCTCGAAGCACGGCGGGGCCATCAACATGAAACCGGCTAGTCGCAATTCTGGCGTGTCCGGACGCGCGAGCTCCAGCTCGCGGTATATGGCTGCGGGCGCATGCGGGCAGTCTGCGTAACGTTCGATATAATCTTGCCTCGCAGCGCATCCCAAAAAGACAGCTGGCGCGCCTCTGGAAACGGCGGCCCGTGGCCCAGCCGTTCAACAGGGTCCTGATGCAAGCAGCGAGCGCCCGCGGGGGGGACAGCCGAGCCACCGCGGGGAACGCGGGCATGACGCGGTCCAACATGACGTCCTCTGGGAGGCCGCACGCCCATCTCGAGTCGCACGCGCAGGAACGCGCGCAGCTCGGTGCCCATGTGCCTACGCGCTCCAGCGACTGCGTGGCGTAGAGCCGCACGTGGCGGAGTCTCGCAGCCCATTCTGCGACCCGGAGGCCGCTTTCCGACGCCGCCTACCACTGGCAGACCCTGAACTCTGCAGCGAGGGACACTGCGCGCAAGTCCGGGACTGAAGCGGGAAGCCCAGCAGCGGCAGACCGCGGACGGCAGCCGGCGGCGCCCACCAGTACGGGCCAGAATGCAGCGACTGCATCGCCTCGGCCTCCAGTTTCGCCCACCACGACGGCGGCGCGTCCACTTGTGCAAAGAAGCTCAGCGTGGAGAGCGCACACACCGAATAAGCTAATGTGTTAGCGCACATCCCGCCTCCAGAGCGGCCCCAATCCTGCGAGCGCCTCTTGAGCTTCGCGCACGCTGGTTCCCACCCGTGCTCTGCGCGTGCCGGCCCCAGCACGAAGCCCAAATACTTGGCCCTATGCGCGAACCGGATCCCGCCCCAGGAAGGCGCTCGCGAAATCCTGCCGCGCGCTCTCGGAGTCCCCCGTCCGGAGCGGCACCCAGTAGGTCTTGCCGATATTCAGTCGCAAACACGAGATGGCGGCGTAGGCGTCGAAGAGCGCCTCGGGCGTGCCAGCCGCGGCAAAACCGCGCGGCAGGACCAGCGCCAGGTCGTCTGCGTTGGCGCGACGAACTGCCCGCGGAAGCGCCCGGCCGAGGCGCCACAGCAGCAGGTCGGCGGCCACCGCGAAGAGTAGCGGTGATAGCGGGCACACCTGCCTGATTCTGGCGGTGACAGCGAAGCCGTCGTGCGTGCTTCCCTTGAGAACGAGCTGGCACCTGCTGTTGCACTACAGCGCACCCATGTAGTTCAGCACAGCGTCAGGGAGGCCCGAGTCTGCGAAGGCCTCTAACAGGATTCCTGTCCGACGCTGGGAAACGCCGCAGCGAAGTCGAAGAAGACTGCGGCGCCGTCAGGTTTCGTCAGCGCGGTGATCTGCATCGCCTCATCCACGTCCACCACGTTGGCGAGCAAGGAGCGGCCGCCGACGAACCCGCGCTGCTCTGGCGAGACGACCTGCGCAAGGAGGGGCTCGAGGCGGCGGCGGAAGGCTCCAGCCAGCAGCCGGTTGTCTGTGTTGGCGAGGCTTAGAGGGCGAGTGTCACCTGGCGCGTAGTGCGGCGTTCCGTCAGCCCCGGCGCCTGTCGCCACTTTCGGCAGGAAGACCATCAGGCTGTCGTTGTAGCTCGGGAGGTCCCGCATGATGGCTTCGATTGCGCCAGGGCTGCAGAGCTGGCCGTAGGCGCTTTGCAGAACGTCCGCGGCCAGGGGGCCGAGTCTGCGAAAACCACATTCTGAAAGCGGCCCGCCCCCCATCCGCGAAGCTGCTGCAAATTCTAAGCCTCAGGATCATACATCGCGAAGAACACTCATGCGAAACGCCCGGCCCGCCCTTTCGATCGGCCTCGGGGTGCGACAGGGAGGATTTTTAATTAGGAAAAAGACTGGAGGAGGAGGAGGAGGAGGAGGACGCGCCATAAAGGCGGGCTTCCTGGATATCTTGCCCTCTCAGAACTTGATCACAGATCCATCGTCGTATGGATTCGTATGCCGTATGCCCATCTATTTCATCGCATGTTGCGTCATCTGCCGTATTATGTGCTGGTCTCATGGAGGAGGAGGAGCAGCAGCAGCAGGAAGATGGGAAAGCGATGGATCTCCTGTCACGCGGAAAGATAGGAAAGATCGGATAGCATCTGATACGGAAAGATAGAGATGCGATGGATCTCATGTCACGTGATTTGCGCCAATGGGTACATGGGCAGGTGCCCCCCGAGCTGGAACCGTGCATGTGCATGTGCATGTGGGCACTGGTACCCGCAGAAAAGGGCACCAACAAAATCGTGTGCGATGTAGAAGGACCGGCCCCAGGGTTGCTTGCAAATGCCGGGAGCGGGCACCCCGGTGAGCGGGTCCTAGTCATGGGCTCGAGGGACCCCATACTTGGTGTGAGGCAGCTGGGTGCCGAGGAGATTTGGCAGCTAATGGGATGATCAGCCGCTGTGATGAGGGCCCTCAGCGACAGTGCGGACAGGCGGGTGCTATTGCGGTGCCCTGCCAGGGTTAGCCTTTTCCATGACCGAGGAGGCTCTGATGAGACTGGGAGGAGTTGCGGCGCCCGGGGCTCCTAAAGCGGGTGTGTGCAGCCTTGCCAGAGAGGAGACGGCGTGGACTCGGAGGCGGAAGGCAGATGCAGGGAGGACGACGAACTGCACGGCGCGACCGGATGAGCAGCGAGGGAGAGGCTACGGTTGGTCGGCGTGGCAGGCGGCGCGGAGGAAGGAGGGGCGTGCCGTGACGGAGGCCTTGACGGGAGGTATAGGGGTGCCCGTCCACCGCCGCATGGCAGCACGGGGGAGTGCTGAGGAGGGGGGGGGGAAAGCTGCGGCGGCAGCCTCGACGGGATGCAGCGGGGGTGCCCGTCCCCCAGGGGAGGAGAGGCGGAGCCGCGGCGGCGGCCTTGACGGGATGCAGTGGGGCACCCGTCCCCTGGCGGAGGAAAGGAATGGCCGGGCTGCGGCAGCGGCCCCGTCGAGGTGAGGGAAGCGGCAGGGCACTCTGAGGACTGCTGCGCAAGTGCCGCCAGAGCGGCGCGGCAGTGGGAGCGGGCGAGGGCTGCGGCTCCCGCGGCGGCGGCGGAGAGGCATCGCTTCGGCGCCAGGAGGGTCGCTGGCGAGGCGGGGTGCGGCGCGCCGAAGCCCAGCCGTTTGTGGCGGCCCGCTACAGCGTGCGGGTGCACGAGCTGCCGCGCGTGCCCCCCCCGCCCCACCCCCCCAGAGCACGAGAGGGGGAGGCACGCCGCCGCGGCAGGGCGCGGCGACTGGAGCTCTGCGCCAGACAATGGCGCCCGAGGCGCGCGATGCTGAGAAAACGATGGATGTGAGCCACCCGCTCCCTCTTTTCCTCTCCTCCCGCCCTTGGCAGCCTGCGCGGGTCGAGTAAGAGCACTCCGCCCGCCCTCTGGAGCGTGCAGGCCCTGGGGGCAAAACGCATGAGAGGGAGGAGGCCCCCGCCGCCGCTCAACGACCTCCCCCACCGCCCAGCCGCCCCCCCACCCCCCACCCCCCGCGCGCGCCCGCCTCACGTGGTCCGACGCCGCGCGCGGGCGGGCGGGAGCTTCGGCCTCCGGGCGCCCGCGCGGGGCAGGCCGCGGCTTGGGGAGAGAGGAGAGAGCGACCAGCATGGCGAGACCGGGGGGCGGAACGAGGGACCAGGAGCCTCCCCGCAAGAATCCCCACGCCACCCCCTCGTCCACTGTGCTGCCGCGTTTCTGAGCTCTGTTACCACGGCCGTGCGTCACGGCCGAGGCGCCGAGCGATCGGCCACCGAGCAGAAGCGTTCGCCGTGATTTGCTTGTGGGCGTCGCGAGGGGAGGGACACGGAGAAAAGGCGGCGAGCAACGAGAGAGCGAAGGAACCCACAAACTCTCTTCGGCAGCGCCGGTGGACGCATGCGCGGGTGTCGTTTCCGGCGGGCCACGCCGGGCGCAAAGCGCAGGGACAGGTTGCAGCGAAGAGGGCGGCCGCGGAGGAGGGCAAGGGAAGGAGCCCGACCGCCGAGTCGGAGGGAGAGCGGAGCGCAACGAGGAACCCACAAACAAATCACGGCGCAGGGGGGGCTCTCGCAGTTCGCGTCCCGCGCCTTCTGGCGAGGCCCACGTGCCTGGTCCGAGGGGGCCGCCAAAGGCGGCCTGTGGCGAGAAGCCCGTTCCTGGGAAAAGACGGGTGGACACCTCCGGGGTCCGCATCGTGGAACAGAACGGCGTCGGGGGTCTGGGTCCTGCATCTCCTTTTCCCCCCACCTCCGCCATACATTCCTTGTCCTTACGAACATCACCCCGAGGCCAGTCGGAAGGGCGGGGTGGGCGTTTCGAATGAGACTTCTTTACCATTTATGAGGCTCAAGCTGAAAAGCTGGCAAGAGTTTCACAAATGAAGGGCGGGTCGCTTCCAAAATGTTGATCTCGCCTTAACGATTGAGTACGTCTGGGGGGTCAGGTCTGCAGAATACCCCAACCGGACGTCAAGGGGCGCAACCAACATGTTCAGGGAAGCTGAAATTGATGCACCACACCCGGCGCCAAGCCAAACCTTTGGACGTAAGCGAACGGTTGAATGGTGCACAGCTTCGTCGGCTTAGCCGGCGAGGCGTTTGACCATCTTGACATCCCTTTCTTGGTGAACCTGCAAAGGAAGGCGACCTCTGACCCTCGGCCCTACTGAACTTAGCGACGCGCACTTTCGTTCGCAACAATGGCAAAAATTTAGCGGATTGAGGGCGGATAATTGTCGAAATGTGGCTCCCGCCTCAGCGCCGCGCACATTCTCTCGAACAGTTTGGAAGAGCTTCATGGATTGAGGGCGACTGGTTTTCAAAATGTGGCTCTCGCCTTCGCGCCGCGCAGCAATAATTTCGAGGATTGAGGGCGGCTCGCTTTCAAAATGTGGCTCTCGCCGTAGCGCCGCGCACATTTGTTCTTCACGGATGGAGGGCAGTTCGCGCGCATTCGCCTTAAACGGTTGCAAGAGTGTCACGGATTGAGGGCGGCTTGTATTCAACATGTGGCGTTCGCTCCAGCGCCGCACACATTCGTTGCAAACCTTTGCAGGGTTTCGCTGGTTCTCATGATTAACGAACGTACCAAGAATTGCGCTTCGGAGCGATTCAGGGTTGTCAGGGCGCAACAGTTACGTTGATTCGCATTGTTGGAGTAACAGAAAAAATGTTCTGGCATGATTCAGGATCGTCGAGACGCAACAGTTAAGTTGACACGTGGCGTTGAATTCCTGAGAATGGTGTTTTGGCACGCTTCAGGATATTTCACACGGCTGTCTCCCAACGGGGCACTTCCCTCAGTGGTAATGGATCCTTGTACGGGCCTATGAAGAGAGAGCTTGGAGGGAAGGTGTATGTCAACATCGTTGCTGAGTCTTGGGTCTGCACTGGTCCTCCTCCTCCTCCTCCTTCCTCCTTCCTCCTCCTCCTTCTCCTCCTCCTCCTCCTCCCCCTTCTCCTCCTCCTGCTGCTGCTCCTCCTCCTCGTCTTCTTCCTCCTCCTCCTCCTCCTCCTCCTCCTCGTCCCCCTCCTGGAAAGCATCTTGGAGAAGAGGGGGGACTGGAGAGACAGAGGGGGGCAAGGAGCAGGGGCACGGGGCTGGTGGCTGGCGAGGGTGGGAGGTGAGGGGACAGAGGAAGAGCGGCAGGAAGGGCGAGGGGAGGGGGGGAGAGCGGGGCGGGGCGGCAAAAATGGAATGCTGATAGGACGCGAAAAGAGTGTGGGGTCGGAGAGTCGGAGATCCAGACGGGGAGGGAAAGAGGGGAGGGAGACAGGGGAGGAGTCGCTTCGAGCAGTCCCCCTAGTCTCTTCGAGCGATCCTGGATTACGTCTGCACGACGATAGTATGGGAGGTGCGAGGGGAGGTGGGAGGGGGCAGAATGAGAGGGGAAGAGGGCAAGCTGGGCGCGATCGCGCCATATCCGACAGCAGATCCCTCCCTCCCATCCCTTCCCATTTTGCGAACTTGTATCTATCCGCGGACGCGTGTCATACCCGACCTGGAACTCCAACAGAAAGACCCCATCGTGCCATGTGCAATCAGACAAGAGGAACCGCGTACATAGGAGGTGACGGGTGAGTAGGAGGACGGGCAGAAGGACAAGGAGGAGGAGGATGGAGAAGGACAAAGACGAACAACAACAGCAGCAGCAGCAGCAGGAACTGGAGCGGAAGGAAAGGAAGGAGCAGGATAGTCAGGAGAAGGCAGAGGATGGCGAGGGGGGCGACAACGATGAGAAAGGACTCGGATCTAGAAAAATGGCCCACGCTGGGGTGAGAATGCCATTCTGAACGACGGGAGCAAAGCGCCGATCCGAACATGAGGCCCACGGTGCAACGGGAGCACCATTCTGAAACCCCGGCAACAATCGGATTGTAAAAGAAACAACAGAAAATCCACGGTGGAAATCCTGCGTATGAGAGAACAGTACGCAGAGAGGGCCAGAGATCTTCCCGACAGCGTCTGGAGAGACGAGAATCATGTTTAAAGGTGTTACTGTATGGTGAAGGAGGGAGGACAGGGGGGGGAGGTGAAAGGGGAGGAAAGGGGGAAGGCGGAAGGAGTGACAGGTGAAGGGGAGGGAGAGGAGAAAATTACGATGGGATAGGAGCGCGGCTATCACACGCGGTGTTGACGTGACCCCAGCCTGGAAAGTAACAATGCAGTGATGTGGAAGTAGTCGGGTCATGCGCAAGGTTTCCAAAGTCTGTTCCGTGCCGCTAAGACGCGCTTGCTCGCGGGTCAGGCCGAGCTTTTCGGTCGAGGGCCAAATGCTTCGAGGCCGAGGCGGGAAAGGTTGGGGGGGGAAACGATTGGGCGCGCCGAAGAGTGGGGCCAGGAAGAGGGGGGCTGATGTGTATGGCCCGAGGCATGTGCGCGGACGGGGGGGGGTCAGGAGCCGCACCGAATGAAGGAGAGAGCGCTGTGAAACTTGAAGTGGAATGTCAAAAGAGAATATGTCATGGCCCGGGCCATGACGCTCACCCCTCCCCACCTCGTCCTCGCCCCCCTCTTGGACGCCCCCGAGACAAGGCGGAGAGGAACGAGCCGAGGCAGAGATACGCAGATGGTCGAGGGGAGGGGGGGGGGGGAGACTGAAACGGGAAAGGTGAAAAGGGAGGAAGGGAGGGAGGGAGGGAGAGGAGGAAGGAGAGAGAGGAGGAGAGAGGACTAAGACACATTTAGCAGGAAGGCGAAGGGATGTTCGACCCGACACAGCACCCACCCCGATACGTCAGGCTCTGGCGGCCTCAGCTACATCGTCTCACTCAGGCTCATGATCACTATCCTCTGCTCTCGCCCCTCATCTGGGCAGTGGGGATCGGGCGGCCACGACGGACTGGTGACTTCACTGTGGAGGAGGAGAAGGAGAGGAGGAGGAAGAGGAGGATGAGAAGGAGGAGGAATAAGAGAGGGAGGAAAAGGAGGATGAGGAGACGGACGGACGGACGGACGCTCGCGTGCGCGCCTGGGCCCGGTCCTTCTGGGGACGGAGCGGTGGCGCCGTGGCGCCAAGATACTGTGGTGTGTGGTAAAACATGCATTCGAGACGCATAAAAAAATTAGGTGCGTCAGAGGGGAGGGAGGAGGGAGAGGCATCCTTATTGTCGGAGTCGTTGTGTGCGCGTCGTGGATAGTGATGCCGTCGTTGATGCTTCACGGCTTCACACTCGTATGGTCGCATGGAAGTCGCAAGTGCGGGAGCTGGAGTCGGAGAGATGGGATCCAGGAGTGGAGCCGGAGTCGGAGAGATGAGACAGGATGGGAGCTGGAACCGGAAAAATGAGAGCCGGAGTCGGAGCCAGAGTCGGAAGGATGTGAGCCAGGGTCGGAACGGGAGTCGGAGAGATGGGATCTGGCGTTGGAGCCGGAGTCGGAAAGAAGATGGGATTTGGGAGCTGGAGCCGGAGCCGGAGTCGGAGAGATGGGATCCGGCATTGGAACTGGAGTCGAAGAGACAGGATGGGTCGGAAAACTGGGAGCCAGAGTCGGAGCCGGGGTCCGAAGGATGTGAGCCGTGGTCGGAACGGGAGTCGGAGAGATGGGATCCGGCGTTGGAGCCAGAATCGGAAAGATGGGATGGGATAGTCGGAAATTTGGGAGCTGGAGTCGAAGCCGGAGGGATGGGATCCATGAAAGGAGCCGGAATCGGAGAGATAAGATGGGTCAGAAAACTGGGAACCGGAGTCGGAGCCAGAGTCGGAACCTTGACGTCGATGTCGGCGTGATGCTCGTTCACGTGTTGATGTAGTGGTGTTCGAGGTTATACCACATGGTGTCTTCGGCCGTTCGAACACACGTGAGGTCGTTAGGCTGCCCCGTGTCGCGCGTTGGAGCCGGGGCTGGGTGGAGGTCCAGCCTGTGCCGTCGTAGGTGTGCAAGAACTTCGTCGTCCCAGCGTTTGTGCTGGCGCCCGTATTGTCGATGTGCGTCAGGCTGCCAGTGCAAAGCCCTCAATGTCCACCTGGTGGGCGCGTGGTTGGCCACTGTCGCTGCCATTATCCATACCTACTTTCTGTGTGTCGTCACCCAGCTGTCTACTTGGTGGAACTTCATGAGCTGCACCG